AATGGCGCGATCTCGGCTCACCGCAACTCCGCCTCCTGGGTTCAGGCAATTCTCCTGCCTCAGCCTCCCGAGTAGCTGGGATTACAGGTGCGCGCCAGCATGCCCAGCTAATTTTTTGTATTTTGAGTAGAGATGGGGTTTCACCATGTTGACCAGGATGGTCTCGATCTCTTGACCTCGTGATCCACCCGCCTCGGCCTCCCAAAGTGCTGGGATTACAGGCTTGAGCCACCGAGCCCGGCTGGTGCATTGGTTTTAAACTGAGCAACTGAAATGACTGCCTTAGTTCCCGTGTATCCTCAGGTAAACTAAATACTATATACATATATATATACACACACATATATATATACACACACACATATATATATACACACACACATATATATACACACACATATATAGATACACACACATATATATACACACACACATATATACACACACATATATATATACACACACATATATACACACACATATATAGATACACACACATATATACACACACACATATATATACACACACATACATACACACACACATACTGCTGTGTAAAAAAATGAACTGCATACATTTTACACTATAGAATCCTATGAGCTATTTCTTTAAGTGCAGCTGCTTTTTAGCAATAACCTAGTAACATGGTGGATATTCCAGTCAATCCACAAAACAGTGTCTTGTGAACAACTAATGAGGCTGAGAGTCTTTAATTTTTTTAATTAGTTCCCTAGTCAAGGGTGGTTTAGTTCAAGAAAAAATGCCCTTTGACCTAACTTGAGTAAAGGGGATTCATGGTATAAGATATTGGGAGAATCGCATGAAACTAAACGGAAAAGTTGAATATAAGCCCTTTTACTCCCTGTCTCTCTCCTCTCTCCTTTCATTTCTTTCTCTCTGGGGAAATATGATCTCTTAGTTCTGCACATTGACCCCCTGTCTAATCTTTCACTTCGATCTTGTTGTTTCTGAATATATCCTGGGCTGGGGGCTCTCTTGTCTGCCAGAGGAGTCCTGAGCTCCCGGATTGAAGGAAAGAAGCCAGATATGGTTCAGCAAGGCGATCACAATCTCTCTTCTGATTCTGGTGTGTGTGTGAGAGAGTAAGAAAGAGACAGAATTGGAGACAGAGACACAGGGAGACAGAGACTGCACAAACAAACAGCAAGAGGAGGTAGAAAGAGAGACTGAGAGATACAGTGAAAGAGACGCCGACACACAGAGGTACGTGTAGATGGAGAGGGACCACAGAGCTGCACGTAGAAAGTATAGAAGAACATCAGGAGTGGGTGTTAAAGCTGGGGCCTCTGCTTGCTGGAAGAAGAGCTTCAATAATGGTCAGGCCAACAGGGGGCAGAAGGGCGCTGCTTCAGTGTCCAGAGTCCTCGGCTGGGTTTGCTCTGCTTGGCTGGGAAGGGCCTGGTGGGCCAAGAGCAGGTAACTTAGGCCACTGTATCCAGCCATACCATGGCGGAGGTGCGTGGGGCTATGTGGAAGCCGGGCCTGATGGGTCCTGACCATTGGCCACCTTTATCCTGGCACCCTGGAGTCTGTGGAACATTGAAATGAATGGCATGTATTGAGTAACTACTATCTAAGAGGGCATTTTAGGTGGATGAGCTCGTTCTATCTCATGTAATTTAAAGGCAGGATATAGTAGTTGTTGCAGGCTCAGGCAGACAGACCTGGATACGTGCCCTGATGGCTACTTAATAACCCCGTGACCTTGGATGATTGATTTATGGCTCCCTAAATCTCAATTTCTCCATCAGAAAGATGAGAATAACTGTTTAGCTGCCATAAGGACTAGAATGCAGTAGAGCCTGTGACCTGTGACATGCTTAGCACAGAGTCCACACAGGATCTGTGCTGGATAAATGTGACCCCATCCCCAGCCCATTGTGCATGGGGGCAGTGTGATCCCTGCTTTCACTTGTGAGGAATCAAGACATGGGGGCTTTGATATGACTCTTCTGACAATCTCACAGCTGCTGGAGGCGTCACTAGAATCCAGAGCCTCCTAGGCCAACTCCAAAGGTCTCACCCCGATGGATTATTGATTTTTTTTTCTTTTAATGACACTGGCTTCTCGTAAACAGTGGCTTGAGAGTTTGCAAGTTAGGGAGTGGCCTGAGAGTTTGCAGGCTGCTGGCCTGCTCCTGGCTAGAGCTGCTTTTTCTTGGGGTCTTGGGGAAGGTGATTACGGCTAACAGCAATGGCATTATACCTCCCCAGCCCTCGCCACACACAAGGGACTCTGGTCTTGGGGAGCACTGTTGTAAGACCAACCTAGAGTCACACATTCTTTTTTAAAATTAAGAAACTTTTAATTTCTTATTTTTTAACTAATTAAATGACAAAATCTGTACATTGTTTAAAAAACAATCAAGCAGAGCAAGAGAGTATAAAGTCAAAATGTAGTGTCCTGTCTAGTTCAGACCCTCAGGTGTCTAATCAAGGGACAATCATAGTTGTGAGTCTCTTGTTTGCAGAATATCCAGATTTTCTACCCATTTTCAAGTATTTGTGTGTGTGTGTGTGTGTGTGCATCCTTCATTTATACCAATGGGCACTGACTATATACACACATACATATATCATGCCTTTCTGTTCTGCTTAATGACTTATCTTAGAGAATATTCCACACAGCCTGCATTCAAGCTAGTGCATTCTTTATTCACTATAGGAGGTGGATTAGGTCTAGTTTATTATTTTTTACGGTTGTATAGTATTTCATTGTATTAGCATAGCAGAAATTATTTATATATTCTTATTGTTGGATAACTTCCACCCTCATTCAAGTTTTTGCTACTATAAACAGTACTGTAATATTTAGATGTCATTGAACACATTCGGAAACACATCCGTAGGATAAATTCCTGAAAGTGGATCCCTATGTCAGAATGTAGGTGCATTTATGGCTCCGGCAGATATTAGCAAAGTATTTGCCACAGAGGTTGCACAATTTTACTCCCATTGCTAGTGAATTCTTCATCTCTACTTCCTGGCTTTTACCTTCTATACATTAAGAAACTTGTTGCTGTCTATCAACAAAACAAGTGAAAAATAGAATCTCATTTTAATTTTAATTTGCATTTCTTTGACATTGAATGAGGCAGTGTTGGGCTTTCAGTAAGCAGCATACTCATTAGCTAATTTTTAAATGATTATATTATTGGTACAATTATGTGTATACAATTAGTTAAAACGCCTGTGCTGAGTCTCAGCCCAGATAGACTAAAGAGGGTATTTTTGTTCCATAACTAAACTAATCAACCAGACCAGTGAAAAGGCTAAGCTGGATTTCTTTTTTGTTTTTTGAGATGGAGTTTCACTCTTGTTGCCCAGGCTGCGGTGCAATGGCACGATCTCAGGTCACTGCAATCTCTGCCTCCCGGGTTCACGTGATTCTCCTTGCCTCAGCCTCCCGTGCAGGATTACAGACACGTGCCATCACACCTGGTTAAATTTTGTATTTTTAGTAGAGGCGGGGTTTCGCCATGTTGGCCGGGCTGATCTTGAACACCTGACCTCCTGTGATCCACCCACCACAGCCTCCCAAAGTGCTGGGATTACAGGATAAGCCACCGCACCCAGCTGGATTTCTTCTAAGGCAGATTGCATAAGATCTGCTATTTGGACCAGGACTTGGCAAACTTGTTTCTTAAAGGGCCCGACAGTAAATATTCTGGGCTTTGTGGGCCAGGTGGTCTCTCTCAGAATGACGCAACTCTGCCCCTATAGTACAAAAGTAGCCAGAGACAATATATAAATGGTCATGGTTGTGTTCTAATAAAACTCTGTAGAGACAGGCCCTGGTCTGTATTTGGCCTGTGGGCTGCAATTCTCAATCCTCTGTTCTACACTGTCTGCATTAGTGGGTGTCTGGAGACAAGACTGACACTTCATTTTGCAGATTCCAAATGGCCTGTCTTCTATACCTGTGACCCTCCAGTTACAGACAGAGAGATTTGCAAACTAGATGAACAAATGGATAAATAAGAGTCTGTATAAATAAGAGTCTGTGTAGGTGTTTGGACATTTAGGATATTAGGCCTTAGAATCATGTCACCCCTGAGAGTGAATGGGAGGCTGGAAGCTCTGAAATTTTCCCACTTGCATGCATTTCCCTTTGAATTGTTAATATAATGTCTTTATACCCTGACTACTTACTAACATATTGAATCTACCCTGCTCCACACCTTGGTGGCATGGACATGCCTACAGCTATTGTTTAGAAAATGAAAAGAGCCATTCTGCCATTCCCCAAGGTCAAGCAACACTGCTTTGAGACCCCCTATCAAGAAGGGAAGTCAGGGCCAAAGGAAGCAGCACTTAGCTGCTGATTGGAGTGGGCCCTGCTGGCCGTGAAACAAGTACCCACATTTCTATGAGGGTGAGTGTTATGAAAGGTGTGGGGGTGAAGAAAGGACTCAGAGGAGGCAGGAGACAAAGGCAGACTCTGAGTGGAGAGTGGCAGCTGATGTAGGGAGCTAGGTGGTGGGGACCTGAGGGTGCAGGAGGTGGTGGGGCCCTGAGGGTGCTAAGGAGAAACCAGAGGCGATGAGACCTTGGTGGATTTGGGTTCTAAATATCACAGTGGGTAACTATAAAGTCGATGAATTTGGATGAGGATGAAGGCTCTGATATGTCTGCTTTGTTATCGAAGCCTGGAACAGGGAGGAATGAATGGATAAATGAATGAATGAATGGAGGTAAGGAATACCATAAAAATGGACTTCTTAATGCTCATGACATTATCCATTTGCCTATGAAATCACATGAACAGTGCCTGGCACATAACAAGTGCATGGAGTACAGTGCATATTAGTGTTACCAGCTAGCGTCACAGCTGATGGAAAGTGTAAATGCAGATAATAAAGATGATAACAGCAAAAGTTCGTTCATGCTGTATACCATGCACGTTCCAGTTCTAAACATTTGAGATGAATTCCCTCATTTTATCCTCACAATAAATTAACAAGAAGATGAGGCTTACCATTAATCTACTTTATAGATGAGGACACGAAGTCATGGAGCAGTTAACTAACTTACATAAAGCTATACGAGAGCTGTGTGTAAAGTATACCTTTGGGGTGTGGAGAGGTGGCTCCAAAATTCCATGGAATGTCACATTTCCCTGGAGATGTGTTAAACACAGAATGCTGGGCCCCACCCCTGGAGGTTTGGATTCAGTGGGTCTGGGGCAGTGTCTGAGAATCTGCATTTCTTACAAATTCTGTTTTGGTGCTGATGTTGGCCTGGAAACCATACGTTGGGAACCACTGGTGCAGGCTAGTTTAGTTCATTTCTGGCTGTTCTTGAACCCGAAGAACCTTTTCATTCTTTCAGTGTTACCGTTTCTCCTCCTTTGCCCCTCCCCATCTCTAGGGCTCCTGCCAATTCAACCAGCACAGTCACAAACTGAACCCCTAGGAATAGACATCAAGTCACTTGCTGAAGCAATGTGTTTTCTCTCTGGGAGGTATTGAGGCATTGAGTTCAAGGTCCAGGCTCCTTCTCAGAAATGATGCCCCACAGTTTTACTGCAGATGGCTGGAATGTGCTTAGGCTTTGCCTGAAACACAAGCTCAACTCTTCTCCAGTTTCAGAGTCTTACCCTCGCAAGTGCTAAATTGCCCCATAAACAAAACACATCTGGTGTTTGACTCATGGAAAATATTTCTCTATGGTTGAAAAGAAGTGTGTGGATAGTCTAACTCCATTAATTTCCACTGGAGTGACTCTGGACCATCTGCTTCCAGCTCTGTGGTGGGGGAGGGCTAGAGGCCTGGGAAGTTCAGTGTGGGCTCCATGGAGCTGTCGGTAGGTGCCCACATCAGCTGTGCCCCTGGTGGGCCGAGAGATGCTTCCCAATGCAAGTCTGCATGCCCTAGAGATTTCTGAGACTCCTCAGACCTTCAGGAGTGCTCTGGTTCTAGTGGAAATGGCCTGAGGCCCCGCTTGCCTTGTTTTCTGGTTGGTAGGTGGGTTGCTGTGGCTGTGATGCTGTTTCCAGGATCCCTGTGATATCTCTGTGGCCCTATATGGTGGACACTTCCCATTCCTTTCAAATGGGCTTTCTGCCTCAATTCTGGGATATCCATCCAAGGCTTACAGGAAGGTAGAGGGGCTCCCTCTGGGGGCCTCTGGAGCCCACTTGTTCGAAGAGAGCAAGACCTTTGGGCAGGTACAGTAGATAATAAGCTTTACTACAGTGGACAAGAAAGGCAGGCTGGGCTCTGGATGACACAGACTTGGGTTAAAATCTGACTTCTCCTTGCTGGGCCCATGTGTCCTTTGCGAAGCTATTAGCTCCTTGACCTCTATATCATCATTTTAAGAAGGAGTACTTTTTACAGTTGATATGACAATTTGCCAGTTGCAAATTAAGCCACTTGAATAATGCCTGGCACATAGAAGATGCAGTTGTTAATAGTATCAGTTACTGTTCTTAGAATTCTGGCAGACATAACTCAAAGATGGACCCAAGATGACTACCCCCTGGTGTGCACACCTTGTATAATCCTCTGCCCTTGATTAAGGGCAGAACCAATTAATGTGATGAGATAGGACTTTGAGTTAACCAAGGAGATTAACTGGGTAGTCCTGACTTAATCAAGTGAGGCCTTAAATGGGACTGGCCCCTTCCTGAAACTGGAGAGGCTGGAAATATAAGAGAGATAACAAGAGGAGCCATTTGGCAAGGATCTGAGAGTGACATCTGCTTGCTAAGAGTGGGTCACAGACAATAGGCATCAAGACTACAGGGACCCTGGTCTTGTCTTATGGCCACAAAAAAGTAAATTCAGCACCTAACTGGGGTAGATGGGAAGCAATCTGTCCCAGTCAAGCCTCCGGATGAGAACACAGCCCAGCTCAAATCTTGCTTTTTGCTTTGTGAAACCCTGAACAGAAAACCCAGCTAAAGTGCACCCCAGTCTTGACCCAGGGATATGGTGAGATAATACATGTGTGTTGTTTTAAGCCACTAAGTTTGTAATAATTGAAATCACATTAGAGAATGAATACAGAGATAATAACATCCACCTCAGAGATAGATCATGAGAAATAAATGTGATAATCTGTGCAGAGCATGCCAGACAGTTGCATACTAAGTACCAGATCATAGCAGCCCTGGATTTCAGCATCTGTTTCAGGTTCCCACCTAGGTTCAGATCATGTTCCCAGTTAAGAAGCCTAGTTCTTCCCCACTAGGAACATTTTCTTACCTCAAAACCCCAGCCTATTACCTAGAACCCTCCTGAATTCCTCCTGGTCATCCTCTTCTCTGGGGGGCTCATGGCTCAGCTGCAGGGATCAGGATTCAGCCATGGCAAGACAGAGGCAGGGAAGTGGCTTAAAGAGGAACAAGAGTGAAGACTCCTCTCTGCAGTGAAGATGAGAAATACTCAGCTGCCTGGTTATAAGGCAATCCCATGAGAAGATTCCTCGGAATCTGCTGGTGTGCTCGGGCAATCCTAGAAGGGCTTTCCCTGGGTCTCCCACCCTCCTGAAGGTGGTCTCTGTGGCTTGCACCCTTTCTCCAAGGAGTTACGGAGAAGGGGAAGAGATGGGGCAGGGGAGACTGACTCCTAGCCCTTCTTGCGTTGCCTGAGGTCCCTGTCCTTACCACTCTCAGCACATCAGTGGATTTTGAGGACCTTTTCCTGGGATTGCCTGGTACCCAGGGAGCTGGGAATTTCTCAGCCCCACTGCTGAGGGGAGTCTTCACCCTAGTTCCTCTCGGAGTCACCTCCTTGCCTCTGTGGCTGCAGACACCGCACACAGACTTCCACCACTCTTATCTTCAAATACTGTGTTTTAGTCAAATGCTTATGTACATGTCATGAGGACACTGGTCTAGAGGGAATCCTGGTGACCTGGTATGATGGAGAGGAAAGAACATAGGCTTTGGTGTTGCACAGAGAAGATGTTCAAATCTAAGCTCTGCCAATTACTAGCTTTCTGAACTTGGCAAGAAATAGTTTCTGTAAGCCCTAGTTTTCTTTTCTGTAAAATGGGGTCACTACATCTCCATGAAAGGTTGGCTGTGAGGGAGAGATGAGAGAATGTGGCTCAGGTCTGGTGCATGAAGATATTTGGGTGTGTGAGTGTTCTCCCCATCCACCCCTTTGTGGCTCTGAACGTAAAAACTTTCTGTGGCAAGAAAAGCCCAAATGCAGTGCAGTGTGAGTGATAGATAAAGAGAGAAATCAGACTGTGGGACCACTCTGAAATTCCAAGCTAGTGTCCCAGGAGTCCTCTGCAGTGGGGCAGGTTGGGTTTACATGTCTTTGCCCCCTCTCAGGCAGGATTCTCCTTCCTACGGAGCATGTTTTCACCAGTGGGACCATTTCTGTGTTCACCCAAGCCTTCTGATTAGAGGCTCATGAATATTCAAATACCTGTCTCTCCTTATTTGCGTATTCACATTCTGTGTCTAGGCTTATTTTGTGGTTTTTCTCTGTCACACATTTGTTCAGTGATTCACGTGACATCATCTGATGTGACCAGTTTCAAGACAATTCCAACTATTCCCAGTCCTGGGCAAGCCTGGGTCCTCACTACTCTCTGGCTGCCAGCTTCCCCTTGCTCTTTCTGCTCCCAAAGATGGGTGGGTGGTGGAACAGCCTGCAGAGTGCTACTTTGGAAACTCGCTTCTGGGATTTTAAAATTCATATTGATAATAATAATCCACTACATGTGTCTCTCACTTCAAATTTTACAAAGAGATTTCATATCATCCTGTTTTACAGTCTGGCTTTCTGAAAATGCAAAACGCTGACATTCTTTTCTGAATGAGGCCATGTCTCTTTTCATTCTGAATATTTAACAACAAGATTTGAACAAAACAGAATCTGTTTTAAAGCCCAGCTGTACCATGATGTCTCACAATGGTACAACGTAGAAGGGAATTTGCCTTTCTCTCTGCCTATTGGGAGAGAGGTTGGAGGTTGGTTTGAAGTCCATTTAGCTCTGTGGGGAACCCAGTGTGTATTAGTTTTCTATGACTGCTATAAGAAATTACCACAAATCTACTGGCTTAGAATAACATACCTTGATTCTCTTACAGTTCTGGCAGTCTGTAAGTAAGTAAGAAACGGGTCGCCAGGCTATGTTCCTACTGGCAGTTCCAGGGGAAAATCCATTTTCTTGTCTTTTCCAGCTTCTAAAAGCCACATCCATCCCTTAGTTCATGGTCCCTGTATTAGTCAGGGTTTGCTAGAGGAACAAAACTAATAGGATATATATATATATATATATACATATATACACACACACACACACACACACACACACACACACACATATATATATACATATCCGTATATACGAAAGGGTGTTTATTAAGGTGAGTTGACTCTCATGATCATCAGATTAAGTCCCATGATAGGTCGTCTGCAAGTTAAGGAGCAAGGAAGCCAGTGGTGTATCAGTTTGAGTCCCCAAACCTCAAAAGTAGGGAAGCCCACAGTGCTGCCTTCAGTCTGTGACCAAAGGCCCGAGAGCCCCTGGCAAATCACTGGTGTAAGTCCAAGGGTCCTAAAGCACAAGAAGTTGGAGTCTGATGTCGGTGGGCAGGAAGCATCCAGCACAGGAAAAAGATGAAGGCTGAAAGACTCAGAAAGCCTTCTCTTTCCACCTTCTTCTGCCTGCTTTATTCTAGCTGTGTTGGCAGCTGATTAGATGGTGCCCACCCAGTTTGAGGGCGGGTCTGCCTCTCTCAGTCCACTGACTCAAATGTTAATCTCCTTTGGCAACACCCTCACAGACATGCCCAGGAACAATAGTTTGCATCCTTCAATCAATCAAGTTGACACTCAGTGTTAACGATCACAGCCCCTTTCTCCATCTTTAAAGCTGACCATGAAGCATCTTGAAATCTCCCTCTCTCTGACTTCTGCTTCTGCCATCCCATCTCCTTTCTGCTCTAATCTTCCTGCCCCTTACAAGCACCCTATGCTTACATTGGGTTCACCCAGACAATCCAGGATAATCTCCCTGTGTTGGTTAATATTGCTGTCAGTTTTATACTGATACGTTGCATCCTTCATCCTTCCATTTTGATTGGATGGCTTATTTTGTGGTTTTTCTCGGTCGCACATTTGTTCAGTGATTCACACAACATCATCTGATGTGACCGGTCACATCAGATGGATGCAAAGCATTGATCTTGATTGGATGGAA